GCCGTAGTCCGAACGAGAAACTGCGCGAGCAACGCCGTGCAGACGGCGATTACAGCGAGCTGAGCTGCTGTGGTTGGCAAATGGAGGCCGGACTGCGCCATCCGACTTGTTCTTTCCCGTTCCGGCTTCGCGCCTGTTTTCTCCTGTCGGCAATCCGTGCAACTGCTTCGATTTCCTTATTACTTTTACGGCGCAGATAGTTGCTAGCAATCTTGATCATTGTCGAACTGTTGATTTCTAAAATTTTCCATGCGAAAGTTCTTCCTACGGAAGAACGATGCCCACAGTGGAACAGCTACGGAACAACGAAAAGGCATTTTTACTTGGGCAGTTTCATTTAGTATACTGATAACACGTAAATAATATTTATTGAAGATGGCAGAACAGAGTTTCTTCCCAGCTGTGTAATTGTTCAGACGTAAACCAGCGGTTCTATAACTGAAATGACGAAAACATGAAACTGAAGGATGAATGAATCAATGATCATGAGTGTTTTGAACAACAGTACATCAGGAAGACGCGTCACTCACAGTGATGTACTGCTGGTTTGTCCAGAAGAAGAGCAGCAGCTAAAGTGAAGTTGTAATCAGTTAGGTGGAACAGCAAGGGAGAACTGAGCTTGCTGGTAAGACAGATAGACCAGAGTAGCGCAGTTTGTAAAACCTCAGTCAGTTGCTGTTGTTTGGCAGGCGAACGGAGGTTTTTTATCGTGTTATCATCTGGTCTCTGATATCTTTACGTCGCTAATAACTACAAATAATTAACGATAATTGAAGGACGTGTACAAAACTGAGAACATTAATGGCGAATATTGGTAGGTAAATCTGAAAAATTTTTAAAAAAAATAATCAGTAGTTAAGTGATAACTTTGCTAGCCTATTAAACATTTGGAGAACAGTTTTGCAGCTACTAAAATGATATGAATTCTGCTCGGAAAGAACTGAGAAGTGATCATGTGTTAAGTAGAAAGTTGGAAAATGAGACTGCATCCTTCATGAACAATAACAGTTGGCAGTTTTACAGTAGGTTGATGGTTAGAAAAACTTTAGTTTGATAACCAGTTAATGGTAAAGGGTACACCGCTCCATTTCCAACAAGTGTTGTAAAAAGTTTTGACGACTTGAAAGAAGTTGTAGCTAGAGGTTTTGAAACAGCAACTTTAAAGTTCTTTGAAACGTATGAATTGTTTTTTCCCTTGGAGAAGGGGAAGAGTGTATATCTCTTCAAGTGGTTTCCTTATCCAATTTATGTTTTTAACAGGAATCAGTTGGAGGAGTAGATAAGAACAGTGGTTGGAAAGGATAGCAGTATGAGAATTACGGGTAAACTCTTTTGCAAAACAAGAGCAGTAAGGACACGGTCTTTCGATGTACAACGGTAGCGAAAGACGAGGTCTTCAGAAATCACTTTATTGCATCTTTTTGTAAATAATTTATAAGAGCTAAGCTATTGCAGGATTCCGCTCTTCGAAAGATTTCTTAGATCTGTTTTCAGCCTAAGATAAAGCGCGTTTTAGTAGTAGACGTAGGCTTAACTAGGTTCTGCACAGAAAGTTCTCTATGAGCAACTGTTTTCTTAGTGCGTTGATAGATTTGTTGAGAGTCTCATTTCGGAAAAAAATTTGTGTACCTTGAAATGCTCTCGCATTTTTTTGAAAGTTTCCTTTCAACTGAATCCAATCAGTTGTTACTGATAAAGGACGATCTATTAGTAGTCGGAGTCTAGTTGCAGATCTATGAAAGCGGTATAATAGTAAATCCGAAAGTAATCGTTCAAAACTCGTCGAATTCAATTTCAAAAACTGAAAAAAAAACAGGTTCAGTATTGATTACTGCATTATTCTCCTTTCTTACTCAGGACGGAGCTAACGATGACAGTAAACTACAAAAAATAAATCAAAATTAAAGAAATTGACGTTTTTGAATTTAAAGTCTTTTGGTACCGAACGTTTAAATGACGCAGAAGATTGAACAGTAAATAAATTAAAGAATGTTAGGTAAACTAGATTATTGAAAGTTGGTTTGTTAAATGAATAGTAGCATCAGGAAAAGGAGTAAAATTCAATAAGTATTTTTTTGACTTCTTTTGATACATTGCTATCAAAGACAGTAAAGAGACAAAGTGCTCTGCTATAGAAAAACTGGCAATAACCTCAAAAATAAAACAGGAATAAGTTGAAGACCTCAGAGAAGGCAGTAAACCATAAATGATCGAGGTTCACTTTTACAGCGCTTTAAATGTATTCAAAGTTCTTGCAGAAAAGTAAGACAAATGGCGAACGTAAATAAAAAAAAAAAAAAAGTTTTCTTCGGATGTGTCATTAAAACACATTAAAAATTCAACAAAAAGCAAAGAAAACACTAAAAAATGAACAAAAAAAAAAAGAAATTAAAAAGAAAAAAAAGCAGAACAAAAAAAAAAATTAAAAAATTGTTGTTTAAAACGTTGAAGTGTTCAATGAAACACCGACGAAGTATCAAAGAGGTTTTTTTTTCGTCAGTAATCTCTGACCAGAAAAAAAAACAAACAAACAAACTTTCAACCGTTTTGCAAATAATATCTAAGTAGCTGTAAACTCCGAGACTCAGTTGTTTAATCAAGAAATTAAAAGCAAACTATAATTAGCTGCAATAAGTGTTCCTAAAATGTCCTTTTGAAAAGACCAGTGTTTTTTGCTTTTGGTGGCAGTAACTGAGCTATAAAGAAGTCAGATGCCGACAAGAAGTACCATTAATGCTAAAAAATATTCCTGTGAAGCAAAAATAGTATACAGAATAACAGAATATTTATTGGTCCTAAAAATTATTGTAGTTTGTTAAATTTTTTTTGTCTTATAGAAAAAAAAAAAAAAGAAAGAAAGAAATAAAAAGAGTTTTATTGACGCAACTGCTTCGTTTAATTAATAATTAAACGGGAGGAGAAAAAAAAAACATTTTTTAGCAAAAACATTACAAGAAAAACAAAAAAAAAAAAAA